TTTCCTCACAGTGGAAAGGAGTACTGCTGCTTAGGGGCAGACCTTGTTTGGGAGAGGCAAGACCTTTACATTAAGAGAAATCTATACCACGCAGCAGGTCTGATGCAGTAACAGAAAGCGTGGAGAGGTTTGAATGTGAACACACTAACACAAGGCAGGGTCCTGCACGCCTCCCATACGTCCCCCTCCCCCCCACTACAGGAAGCCCCTACCCACTTGAGCCAATAGAGAAACAGTGGAGAAAGGAGGCAGGAAAAACACAGTGAAAGGGAAAGGCCAGACCTTTCTGAAGGGACCCCCCCCCCCAAACAGCTCTATTCCAGAGTCGTGCAGAAAGGCAGCATGGACAGTAAGGTCAACAGAGACCAGTGAATGCAGCTGTGCCCAGGTGTTAGCTGGAAAGAACACTGACAAAATGTTTCCTTTCCAGCTTAGTTTCTGCCTCACCCAAGGCTGATGGTGTGGAAGACCGCCAGAGGATAGAGGCGAGATGCAAGCAATGAAGCTCCGCAGGCAGGATCTGCAGAGCATTGCCAGCTCTGACAAGTGGACATGTCAGGAGAACAGAGAAGGGAGGCAGCGGGGAGATGGCAAAGGTCCATGTTGGGCACTTCACATCTACAGGCTTCTTCTCACAAGAAGTCGTGAATAAGGAAATCAGTCCCTCAGGCACAGAGACCTGGGTAACGACAGAGCAAAGGAAAGCGGTAAGAGAGTGACATTTCTCCAGAAGGAGCCCGAGCTTGCTCTTGAAACAGGTTTGGCATGGTGAACAGAAGACAAGAGAAATTCAGTGAGCTGCTTTGTGTTAGGAAAACAGTCATCTCAGCCTCTTCATCTTTAAAATGAGGGTGATCTTATGGTTACCAAGAGAAGAAAAATGAATCAGTACAACATATTTTTTGAGCACCAGCTGAGTCTTAAGCCATATACTGGTGTAAGTATCTAGCAAGGTATTCAAGAGGTAGCAGTTATCATGATGTTATCAAGCACAAATCATTAGCTTGCAAAGTATAAAAATGGCAGGCACAGTGATGGGAACCAGCTATCAGGGCTTAATACTATTCTACCCTCCGAATTTAATTCTCTCACTAGATTGCATGTTTTCTTAGGGCATGGTCTAGTTAGCTCATTCACAGTCTGAAATACGGATCAGTTTCAGCGGGTGACAGGCTTTCTAATGTCAGAAATGCCTGGAACATGAATGGCAAACAGGGCAAATGAGAGGTGAGGTCTTGCTCAAACTATCTTTCATCTTAGGAAAGAAAAAGCGTCCTCTAAAAATTCTCTAGGCTCATGCACCCACTCCTACCCAGGCAAATCCCAGAATTCCAAATAGCCGTATTAGGCTGAACTTAATTTCAGATTCTATTTTAGAGTGAAAATTCACAGATAAAACAATCTTCAACAAACTTCTAGTGTTGGTATTTGAGAAAGTACAACAAAACGCCTGTATTTTCTTCTTGAAGCTTACACTATTTCTTCTAGCCCTACTTAGCTGAAACTAAAACAAAAGTTGTCAGTTGGAAAACGAGAAATCCCATGACAATTTTGAAATTTCCTTAACTTTGACCAAACTAGAGAATGCAAGAACATTCCCTTGAAATTCTATCCTACTTGAGATGGAGAAGGAAAACGACTCATTTCCAATCTGCCTCACGCCATAGAGCTCATTGTACGATAAAGCGTTCTTACAATTTTTCTTACACTTACTTGTGTGCATGTGTGTGTGTGTGTATGTGTGCGCACACATACTACAGCATATTTGTGGAAGTCAGAGCAACAACTTTCAGGAGTCCTTCCATGATGAGAGTCCCAGAAGTGGAATCTGGTGTCAAGAGCCTTTATCCGATATGATACCTTGTCCGTTCAAGAGTTCTTCTTAATAACTATTTGCCTGCTTGTCTGTCTGTCTGTCTATCTATCTATCTATCTATCTATCTATCTATCTATCTATCTATCT